AAGAAAATCTAAACGTTATTGGGCTAATGAGGAAATAAATGGGCTCACGAGTAGTTATAGGCCCAAATGTTTTAATTATCTTCTGAAATTAAAGAGTCACGTGTTCGTCACGTGCGTGATTATCTTGACGACGGAGAGGAGAATGAAATCACACGGCGAGGCCACCACCATCGACGGTGTGAATTCAGGGTTTGTTCTTCAGTCGCAGAGAAAGTCTCCGTTTTGCGATTTGCGAGACGCTAATGAATCTGAAAGATGATAATCCGTCAGGTAATTTCGTGATTTTAAATTTGAATCTCAATATATATATATAGATTGGCTTCTAAAAATTCTTGGATTGTGGCATTTCAGGAGAAGTTGCTCGTATTCTGGTGGAGTTTTTGGAAGTAGCAATCACAATGGTTGTTTATCTAAAAGGTTTTTACCCAACTGGTGAGTAAAAAGCAATGGAAATAGTTTTGTGTTTAATTGGTTCTTGAATTCTTATCCCAGATGATTGATCATCTGTGTTTGTGAAGCTGCTTTTGAAAGGCGGAGATATATGAATGTGGTGGTGCAAAGGGCAATGAATCCTGAGCTACGTGACTATATTCACTCTGCTACTTCTGGACTTCTTCCTTTTATCGAAAAGGTTTAGTTAATTTGATCGAACCCTTGTTTTTGTTCAGCTTAACTATACATTGGATCTTGGATGTGTTAAATCTGCAATCTTGATGCACTAATTCAATGAAAACCCACTTCAAAGATTTCAACTTGTTTCTTTAGATTCTTGACCTCTGTTCAATAGTAGCAATTTAGCATATACACTTACTGTTGGTGTGTCAATCAATGTCAAAGGAACGTTCTTTTCCACAATTCAAGAAAACCCACCTCAAAGATTTTGCCTTTGTTTCTGTAATCATTTCCAGTGGTAAACACAAATGATAGTATGAACGAATGTTTGTTTCTTGTTTTCTGGAACAGGGTCTTGTTGAAAGAGTAGCACTGATATTTTTCAGTGAGGATAATGTTCCAGTGGAGAGGTTCATCTTCAAGCTCACGATTAACCCGTCTTCCGCTGCTTCAGTCGAAGAGGGTCAACTGGAATTCACGCTTAGGTCCTTCTTGATTAAGCTTTCCGCCTCAAAATCCCTTGTCAAGCCTCTTCCCCAAAGTAAATATATCTCTAGCTCCACCGTTTTACTTCCTCTATACATATGCCACATTCTCTTATCTTATTATATCGATGTTGTTTCTAAGTTTCAAAGCTTTGTGATCTTTTCCCAAATGACAACAGATTGTAGATGGGAGGTAACGGCTTATCTGAGGTCGCTTCCTGAAGTAGGTTCAAGAGAGGTATGGATTCCAACAGACACAAAGCAATGGCAAAAGCCACCAGTTATAACACCGGTCAAGTCTTTGAACAGCGAGCCACTCTGCTTGCAGCTTTACTTGGAACACCCAAGCTTGTATGAACCACAACCGTGTCAAGGCCAATGAGACATAAGGTTCTACTCAATTGTACCATTTGCTCATTTATTTTTGGCAGGACGTTAGGGCCATAGTTAATTAATGCCAAAAATGCATTTGAATTTTGAAACATGTGGGAAATTGTGAACTGACCTATAGCG